ATTCTTATTTGGGTCATATTCCAAGACTTAGGCTAGAATCTGTGATTGCGAAGTACAGTAAATATCCACACCAGTGCGGTGACTGACTGCCACACATAGTCTTCTTCAGAACATGATTAATCTGCGCTGGAGCCGCGACCACTCACAACCCATGCAAGCTAGATAATTCCACACACAGCTGCAATTCCAGGTTTTCAAACAGAGATGGCGACAAAGAGGCAAAACTTACGGACTGCAGCTTTAAATTGTAAAATTATTTTGGAATTTTACCATTTTACTGTATTTTTGATCAGATAAATGTAGCCTTGATGAGCATAAGAGATTTCTTTCAAAAACATTAAAAAATCTTAACAAACCCATCAGTAGTGTATACAGAAACATTTCTTTTGTTAATTTGTCAAGTTCATCTTAATGCATTATGGGATAGATACATGAACTTCTGCTTTAGAATTACAAGGTATCTTATCTTCTGGAACAGTTGTTGGGTTGGGAGTGTGATTGTGACGCCTTAAAATGCTGCCTAAATAGGAATCTCACTATGTTTTTAGACACAGCCACATTTATTAAACTATTAGCATTTTAATAAGAGACCTAAAACACACACAAATACAATCCACTGCACGAAGGCCAAGAGAGTTGAGTAATATCTTCTCTTCCCATTTTCTCTTTGCAGGATCTGAATATGATTGTTATTCCATGAATGGCGACGCTGATAACGACGCACAGACAGACTTCAACAAGTCCTGCACCGTCCCTCGCCATAGCAATCTGGCTCAGAACTACCGCCGAATGATCCAGACCAAGCGGCCCGCCAGCACCGCGGGGCTGCATGGAGCACTGGCTGCCCAGGGAGCCCCAACAACCAATTGCAAAGGAGAAGGAAGTGGTGTCATAGCCTCAGGAACAGCCACCATTCGTAGAACCCCTTCATCTAAAACAAAAGTGAGACGCACTCCATCCAGTGTGGGTCCGATCCCTATACGACCACCTATTGTCCCTGTAAAGACTCCGACCGTCCCTGACTCACCTGAATTCCCCAGCCCTCCTCCTGAGCACAATGGAAGTGAGGAAAACCTGTACAATGACGAATCGTTAGAAATTCTGGACTACAAAGCTTCTCCCAAGCGAATGAGTCTGCCAACGTGGGGAGCTGGTGGTGGAAGTGTCTACGCTCAGCAAACTGGAGCTGCGGGATTCACTTCAGAAGAAGAGCAGATGCTTGCCGCCAATCGCCATAGTCTGGTGGAGAAGATTGGAGAGCTGGTCGCTAATGCTCACGCACTCGGTGAGGGCCAGTTCCCATTTCCCACGGACCCTCAGGCCAGCCAGGGCCACCGGCAAGATCAAGGGCATGAGCAGGACGGAGGAGACATGTTGAAGACCATCCGTAGAGGAGTGCGTCTTAGAAAAGCGACCTGCAATGACAGATCAGCGCCAAGGATTTTGCGATAGTTTAGTACTGCTTCTCTTGCCAAGTCTATTGCTACAGACTCTCTCCAAATGAAGAGGAACAATATATTATGTAAAAATATAAGAAGTTGGTGATTTAAAAAAAAAAATGTCAGTGTTACAATCTGGCATCGAACAACTAGAAGGCCAGTGTCAATGTTACATGTTGAGTGCGTATGGACACTATACTCATCTAGACTATTATTGTTGTAGTTATATTCAGATTTGGACTAATATCTCTTTGACAGGCATATTATGATGGACAAATTGTGGCCTGAAGGATGAGAATGTAATTTTAAAATGTGTATTAACATACTAGTTATGCCGGTTGTTCCTTTTTGGAGTTGCAATTTGTATTGACTATGTTCTTAATGTTACTTCTATGTAACTGTGATGTTTTTGAGACATTTCTGTTCCCATGTGTAACTATTGTAAAAAGCCAAAGTCTTGTTCTCAACTGAAAAGCTGCATAAAACTGCTTATACGCAGCTCAGTCTTAGATGGACCACACAATTGAATCACCGCACATGCTGTAAACTGCCAAATAAAGCACATCAGTTGTACTAGACCAGATCATTTTTTTGTTCTTGCTGAATATTGAATACTTGTGGATGATTTTAGAAAAGGTGTCATAGGGTACATTTAGGGTTCTATTTTAGAAATTTCCAGCAGGTGGTGTAAGTTGCTTGATTTATGTAGCATATGAATATGTCAGTCGTACAATACTATGGTATATATCAAAGTACAATTCTATTACCGTTTTTTTATATGCGTATCGTAATACTATAGTTTCCTTTCATGTAGCATCATGTCATGGAATACAATGTAAATACAATTGAATTATTACATATGACAATCAGATTGTCTTCTATAGAGCTGCTTTACAGCTGAAATTGAATTTGTTTCACAATTTATGTACATTAACATTGTTATTTTCCTGTTTATTACTATGAAGCTGCTTTATGACACAATCTGTATTGTATAAAGTGCTATATATATATAATTAAAAAAAAAAAAACATAGTACTATAGTGCCATACGAAAATTAACCATTGTTTTACTGTAGTAAAAGTGTAGTAACCATGGTTTTTGGCATATTGATTACCATCTGTATAACCACAGTTTTACTACAAATACCATGGTTAAATCACAGTTAGTGTCGGAAAACCATGGTTAATTTGTGGTTACCATGAGTAAACTATAGTAACCAAGGTTTTTTTGGTTTAATTTGTAGTAAAACCATGGTTAATTTTTTTATAAGGGGTATTGAATATATCATATATATATATATATATATATATACAGTACCATAGTATATATATAATATAAAGGAAATACCATTTTGCATTAACATGTTAAGAATTCGCTTTGGAGTTCCATGTAATATCATTTGATATCAGTCTGTGGTTACACTTTATTTTACAGTGCCCTTGTTAGATACTAACAGATAATATAAATTAAGATGTAGCCTACTTACTATTCGGTTAGGATTAGGGTCTGGTTTTGGGTTACTGCATCTAATTATCGATATTTTTCTGTTATTAATAGGAAGTACATGTAACGTGTAACAAGGACACTGTAAAATAAAGTGTTATACGCTAATCATATGCTGTAGCACAAAGTAGCCTACTATCTGATTTTACTATGATACTACAGTATTTTGTTGTCAGGGTAGCATACTTACTAGTAATGCTCTTTTTATGCACAGAACTGGCACATGTATGGTAGGTGTGTGTTCTCATTTACTCTTTTATGGCTAGATCCTGATGGCTCTTTTGATCTTTTGTACTTTTGTTCAGCAGGGCCCGAGATTACCCGCATGTGGGGTTTATGTGACCCATCCTTGCGATTAAATCTAACTGATGGGATAAAGAGCCGGACCCGGGCTGAAGGAGGCGTTTGATGTGGCAGCTGGAGATCGTGAGAATGAGGAGAGGCAAAAGCCTCGGCTCCAGTCACTCATTCACTCACTCACTCATCACATCCCCGTCTCCGTTATCCCCCCCTTTCTGATGCACGGGACCCCCACACTCCGCTCCGGGCTACACATACAGGGATGTGGCACTGGTGCGCATCCTGCCGTCAGTCGCGCAGCAAAGTGGCACGCGTGCCATTTTCACTGACAGACGCGTTCGTCTGCCTATTCACGCTCCTCCGCTGCAAATGCGAGACATGACTGTATACTGATGGAGCCATGTCGCAAACAAGAAATAAACACATCTTGAGCAATGCGATCTGATCTGGAGGAGAGGGACAGAGAGCTCTATATGCACAGGGACACTTGGGTAACAGCGTTGTTTTTTCCCCCTTATCTGCAATACTGGACTTTTGGGATGAGATTTTATCTTTAGGTATATGATTAACTAAATGGGAAAATGAGGGTTTTTAGAAAATTACTGTGATTATCCAGGATGCCAATTATGGGGGATTTTTTTTTAAGTAAATGTACTTTTCAACGGCCCCACAACATTTCAGTAACTAAAGTTAGATTAAGTTAGTCAGAGTGCGCTATATAGGCCTATAGCTAAGCGCGCGAACAGAAATCGTTTGACTATAGCGAAAATCGCTGGCTCGCTGTCTATATCAGGAAACAATCTTCATCAGCAAAATAGAAGTATTATCCTTTTAGTTATGTTATTATTGATCTCGTTTGACTATAGCGAAAATCGCTGGCTCGCTGTTTATATCAGGAAACTTAATCTTCATCAGCAAAATAGAAGTATTATCCTTTTAGTTATGTTATTATTGATTTGTACATTACAAATGTATGGCAAAAAAATAGTCTTTTGTCGAAAACAAAAGTTGAAGGTTAGCTACCTGCTCTTTTGGCAAAAGATGCAGCTGCGACTAACTTGAGGAACCTCAAGAACGTTTGTGAACATGTGTTTATATTTGGTTTTATAGTTTTAGAGCTGGCATAACATTTGTTGTCATATCAGTACCTACATACACTGTAAAAAAAAAAAAAAAATCCGTAAAATTTATGGAAAAAAATAGCAGCTGTGGTTGCCAAAATTTGTACCATAAAATATATGGTAGCGACATTTTAGGTTTTATGGATTTAACTTAAATTTACATTTAAAAATTGTAATTTTTTACAATTATTAACTGATAAAATGTTAATATACCAACCTTGAAGTACTAAAATCTGTTTTGTACCTCTGTAATACACTGATAACCACCAAAAGTGTCACATGACAAACCAAGGTCATCATGGTAACACACATGAAACTGAAATAATGCAATAAACATTAATTTAACAACATTAGATGTAACATACAACCCTAATGTACACAACTGATGAGAAAAACTAAGAAGAAACAGTTATTTCAATTAAAAAACATCACATGTGAAATGTAGCGCAGGCAATTCTGGGAATGTCAATTTGCGGTTATTCACTGTAAATTATACGTTCTTTTTCATTTCAAAAAATTGTATATACCGTCAAATTACATGTAATGTCCAATACAGTTTTTTTACTGTACAGTACGGGAACTTACCGTTAACCAATTAATAGTTTTTTACTGTAGTATTTTAACAGTCTTTTACCATTAAAATCAGGGTCATTACAGTGTCATTGTGCCAGTAGCCTATATGAATTCAGTGATTTTTAAAAAAGATTTTAGAGCAGATATATTTGTCGTTTATATAAAATCTTATTAAAACATGCATTTTAGATCTTAGAATATTAGTGTAATAATATGTTTAAATGTATAATTGATTATTATAGGGTTTTAGATCATATATGTTTTTTCTGTTGTCATTTTTATAGTGTAAGTAAGCAGTGTATGTAATACACCAATTGGACATTGGCATCAATGTATTTATTTCTATAAATCTTTGATTAATAATAGGAGTTTAGAGCTGATCTGTTGTAGCATTTTTATGCTACACTGGACATAGGCTACAATCTCATTCCACGGTTTCGCAGTTTGGCCATTGATTATTTTTCAAATTATTTTGTCAATATTGGGATCTTACAGGCCATTAGGTATGGCTTTTTTTTCCCATTGCAGTTGGGGATATTTTTGGAGACACATAACACAGGCTATTTAAAAATAAGTGCTCTACTGATGAGAAATAATTCTTTTGTTCTTTTAAAAACACAGCCATTGACATAAGCTTGCTGACGGATACTGATGCTTTCAATACCTCAGAGACCAATGATGAATTACTGCAGACACACAGCGCTGAGCATGCAAATATGTCCAGCTACTCTGATATTGCAGCAGGGGAGGACAATGTGCTTACATCTTAAAAAAAAGACACCCTGTTTGACTGTCTCACTCTGCATTAATTTTGTTCATGATGATTAATAATTTGTCTCATTAATGTTTAATTCATCATATATATGTATATACTGTATATATATATATATATATATATATATAAATAAATATATACGATCTTATTTTCCTGTTTCTCGTTATCTTTCTTAACCCATTTGCTTTTGTGTCTCTCGTCAATGAATATAGTTTAAAAAGATTATATCTAACGAAGAGCACTTCCTCTATGTTTTTTCATTGCTGTTGCTCTAGGGCCATATGCAAAGCAAAACGGATCCACGTTTGTCTCTAAAATTATTCATCTAATTTCAGAAGCATTTAGCAATATTTTTTTTTGGCAACAAACAACTTGTTGTTCCTTTTAACTTTCAACTAGAGTTAAAAAGTGGGATGAAGATTTATCAATATGCATTATTATGTGTGTGTGTGTGTGTGTGTATATATATATATATATATATTAATAGTAAAATTAAGCATCAGTATTTTGTGGTTTGGTATTGGGTTTGAGGATTTGTAAGACTAAGTTAGATGACAGTGAAAGAGAGATCAGAGTTTAGCTTATGCAACACCTCAAGGGATGAAAATGTTCTTTAGCCTTGTGGTCCGTGTTTGTATGTGTCTATGTGGCTTCCAGATGGCAGGGAAGAAAACAGACTGTAGCTGCGGTGGATGGAATCCCTGATGATCTGGAGAGCTCTTTGCTGGCAGCGATGGTTGTTCAGGTCTTCGATGGCCAGTAGCCGAGTTCAGTGACGCGCTGGGCAGTTTTGACTACCCGCTGAAGGGCTTTCCGGTCTGAGGACGTGCAGCTGTCATAGCAGACTGTGACTGTGCAGCAGGTCAGAAAGCTCTCAGGAAGTTCTCAAGAGCTGGGCAGGTAGATTGAGTGAGTTTGAGATGGGTATTATTTGAAGATGCACAGTAAATGGTAACTTGAACCTTTCCTGTCCTTTATTATGTTATATTATACTGACAGACCCAATGCACAAGTATCTAATGTATGCTTGTGTACATTACACATAATCATATAATATGAGGTGCATGCATGTCCTTGAATATGTTTTTTTAGGATTTACTAAACAGTGTGTGAGAAAATTATGTTTGTGATGTATTTGTTTGTTATTGAAGAATTTATACACATTTTGTCCTGTCCAATAGCCACAAATCAAGTTAAATTACTCCATCAGCAAGGACACTTAATTGCAAAAATGCATTTATGTCACCGATGGATTTTTGGTAAAAATATCATCCAAATCTTAATAAGTACACCTTTCACCTCAATC